TGTGTGTGTGTGTGTGTGTGTGTGAGTGATGCATTTAGATTCAAGAGTCAAAACTTTATTGTCCAGGAATGCAGCCATCGTAGTTGTTCCATGTCGTTTCTTATTTCTTCAACGTTTTAAAAGCAACTTGTTTAAGCTGCTTCCTCTCTAAACAACCTAGTAAAGAGATGATCTCCTCCGTGTTTTTACTGTGGAATCATTTATGTCTTTCAGCAAAACCTTTCTTTATTCCATGGTTACATTGTTTTCACCAGGGATCCAAGCGACGGGGGAAGAGAAAGTCCAGAAATCAGTGTGATAGAAGAGGATTAATAAGTCACATCTCTCTCTTATCATAATGGGCAGCTTGAGATCACTGGACAATAATAAAGACAAGCTAGCATTAGTATTTTATAGTAGTTTGTACAACGTCCTTTTTCCTAACTGCCATCATTCCATCCGAGCATCGAGACAGTTTCTCTAATTATGATTCTGATTATGTGTGCACCCAAAAAAAGAAAATGTCAACAAATCTCGTAAACATCACAGATCTGTTGAATCCATCATTAGCAGATCTGGTCCTTTTTAATCAGAGAGACTGTGTTTTGATCAACATTATGTGTTATTATTGTTAAAGAGCGTGGGAGGTAAATTACCAGGCACCAACCAAATGTTTTTCAGTGAGCTCCCACACTCCGCCATCAGTTCTACTATCAGACACATCCATGGCAAGTGATTCAGAAATGACAGGCACAGAAATATTCCACAGTCAGACACGTTCTCTCTAATGGGAGTGATAAAGTCATACATACATCCCTTTTGGGCAGTTTCGTTAAGGTCACTGATACGCCGTGAATTTAATTAGAATGAAAACTTTTTCCCATAATACTTGAACTTTTCTTAACATTTCAAGATTTTTAAATATATTCTAAGGCCTTTTTTTTTTTAGGGAAAATAATTGAAAATGCTTCTAAGACTTGTAAAGATGAAGCAGAAACCCTGTCTGTTTTTAAAGGTGCCACAAAGAGGAGGCTGTTTTTTGTGGATTTCTCTTGTCCTCAATTCAACAGGACAATATAAAAGACCACTTCACTGGCCCTGTGCCGAAGGATTTACACTTTATCTACATATGAATTTGTGCGCTGTATAAACACAACCCAGTACCACAAGCCCTTCTCTCTATTTGTGAACTGCTTGCAATGTGTGTTTCTCTGGCTGTCCTCCTCTTGTTTCTCTCAATACACACTCGTAGACACACACACTCACACACTCACACACACACTCACACACACACTCACACACACACTCACGCACTCACTCACGCACTCACTTCTCTCTGAAATGATAACTGCTCTCGGTGAACACTGTCTTCCTGCCTCCTTGGGGGTGAGTGGGCGATCTGGGTGGGTGGGCCCCCCCCCCCCTTGCATTTTCGGTTCCTGCTCTAAGCTCCACCCTGCAGCATCTCTGGCTCCTTCTGCTCCTCCTGTCACTCTCGCCATCGACTGTCCTCTCTAACCAATCAGCAGTCAGATCTTCTGCAGATGCTCCACGCACAGACAGGTATGAAACCTCCTGATAGGTTGATACACTCACTGAGAGTTGAGAGCAGTGACTTACTGTGTTAGTGAAGCAAAGAGTTGTATCAGTGTATGTGTGTGTGTGCACGCTTTGTTGTCAATCCTCTTCATGATTATTTCTATCTGTTTATTATCTTTCTATCCATTCATCATCCATCTGTCCGTCCGTCTAAACACTATTTAAAACTTCTAAATTACTGTTAACTCTTCAAACCTCCTGTCTTCTTTCCTTTGAGAGACTGTTGAGCCTCAATCTGCAGTGATTAGCTGCAGTTGTATTTTATCTCTAATCTGATTGGTTGATGGCGCCCGTAAATTCTCTATTCTGCAACTAGGGCTCACAACCAGAGAGAAACTGCTTTCAACTCATTCTTTGAACAAATCTATTTTCTTCATCTGGTGCCTCATGCAGTATGACCAGGTTTCTACAAAAACTAATGTGACCCACTAGAACTGATTTTCACCCACTTCAGATTTCATTAGCAAACACAAGAAGTGGAATGATTTACAAAGCGCCGTAGTGGTGCTCACAATTTCATCTAGAAAACCATGATTTTATGGGAAAAACCAGATCTACTGACATGAATAAGTGCCTAACGATGGAAAATATAAACTACTAAATTTCATTTCATTTTTAATATAATAATAATGATGCTTTGTAACAATTGTAGCTGCAGAATTCAACAGATATAATAAATTCTGTGGCTCATATTTAGATATATATTTTTTGAACGTGCATTACAGACACAAGCTTTCGTCTTTTTCTTTTCCTCCTTTTATTGGTGCACTGTTGCCTCTACAGTGCTTTGCTTCCACAGATTGTTGCTGCCTCCTGCAGTTGGCAAAACAAATGTTTTTTTTATCAATTCCCACTCATAGCAAACTGGTTTGTCCTTGTGCATATGCTGCTTTGACCATGTGATACAAACCATGTGATTCTAACATTACAAGGACCTTCTCTTCAAAACATTGCTCTGCAGTGCCCCCTGTGGTCAAAAACTCCACATGGTCCCTTTAAGTGATCACTTACTCAGTGTACCACAGTTAGCAAACAGCAGCTTGCAGCTAACAAGCTAAAGGTGCATGGCTTTGTTTAACTGATTGGCTGCAAGAAGTTTTCTAATGATTTCTATTACTGAAATGATCGTTAACACACACACACACACACACACACACACACTTGATTCACAACAGCAAACCACCATAGACAAGAGGAACTCCTCAGTTCTTGTGTTCCGCTTTCTTGTTTTCACACTTCCTCTTTATGTTTCGATGACGTGTGTATGTGGTTTGTGTGTTCTTGACTACCTCTGAACACATTTACATTTCATTCTCAATGCACATTTATTTATTGACATGTCACCCTGTGTCTGCCCATTGAACTAGAGCTAATGTCTCTCCTACAGAACCGCATGCATGAGTCTCTGAAGCTGTTTGATTCCATCTGTAACAACAAGTGGTTTAATGATACGTCCATCATCCTCTTCCTGAACAAGAAGGACATCTTTGAAAATAAGATCACCAAGTCGCCACTGTCCATCTGCTTCCCTGAATACACTGGTATGTACTACATTAATGTATACTGTAAATATATGAACACTAGGAGGCACTGTGCCCACTGAGGTCTAACACAGTATTATGGAGAAATCGCAATGTTAAAGCTTGCAAACAATTAGAGTGAAACAGTGAATGAAATCATGGCTGTTACCAGAGGTCCAAACAAGACGAGTGTGAGAGAGACAAGAGCAACTGAGGGACATTGGAAAAAACATAAACAGCTCACAACTGCAAGATGGAGAGAGACCAAACAGCAAGTGTGTGAGAAAAGCTAATTTAGCATTCGGAGCCTGTTTCCTCTCGTACGCTCCGCTGCTCTTCATCCTTTTACGTCGCTCTCACTATTCTGATTCTTCCAACACAAATGACTCCAGCTACTGAGAATATAGAGTATTGCCTCACATTCCACAGTGTGTATTGCATTTACATTTTTGAATACTATAATATATAAATCCATATTAATAGGGTCATAGAACACCCATTAGAGTGAAAATGCAAATTATTACCTCATTTTCCTTTTTCCTCAAATGCCACATCCATGTGCATGAACCTAAAATGCCATTTATTGTGGAAGTACATTGTTTTAGTCTGTGTTTCACTCCCTATCAGCTTCCATAACGTCGTCCATGTTTCATATCCTTAAAGCTTGGCAGAGAGTGAGCACACCACAGCAGATTATGTGCTGAGCTTGAAAGTCAAAGGTTATGTTTTTAGAGAAATATCAGAAACAGCTTTCCAGCCTGAACCTAATTCCCTCTATCTGTCATCTCTGTCCTCAGGACCTGACACTTACTTGGAAGGAATAGCCCACATCAAGTCTCAGTACGAGAGCAAGAACAAGTCGACCAACAAGGAGGTCTACTCCCAAGTGACCTGCGCTACCGACACCAACAACATCCAGTTTGTCTTTGACGCCGTCACTGATGTCATCATAGCCAATAACCTGCGGGGCTGTGGCCTTTACTGAGGATGCTGTTAAATGTTAGTCGGCTGAGGAGGGGTGTTTGTATGACATGTATTTACCCCTGTTGGTGTCACAAGGGTAAATACTTGTGCTGCCCACGTGGTTTAAATCATATGGTTATGTGGCCTGTCATGTGACAGGAAGTCAATATGGAGGTGTCACAGTACAACTTAGCCACAAGGCTGATCATTGGTATGGCTTGACTTTTAATTATTGAATTGATTGGTTGGTTGAGACTTCTTTTAATCTATTTGCCTTTTTAATTCCCTTTGTCAGTTCCTTAAGAGGAACCAGCAGCACCGTCCAGTACCACTGTTCTTTGTGTGTTTGTGTGCCTAAATGCCAAATGTGTTGCTAGCGTGCTACAGGAATCTTACACAATACCTACAGTAAACTCTTGAGGTACACAAGGTTCCTGACATGTATTTGTACATACACAACAGTGCCATGCTCATAGACTGAATGCAGTTCAAGTGCATCTCTCGTCGAGATTCAGGAGAAATCCTTAAAAATACAGTGGGAATCACTCTTCTCCTACCCTGATGTATTTTTTATTAAGCTTGAAATGATATACCACAGACCTGTGCCTTAGTCCCATAAAAGTCTGATTTAAAACGGCTCTAAACTATGTCGTACAGTGAGTCCCATCCAAAGTCAAACTTATCCCCAGTTTTGTTCTGAAAGAAATTATCACTTGACTGTGCCAAAAAAATAAGAGCACTTTCCGATGCTTTGTCATCTAAAACGTAATTTCATGGGACATCCTGCTTTCCTCGTGGTTAAGGCCCATAACTTATCATTGCAATGTCCCCATTTTGATTCCTCTGCATTTTATGCCCCTCTCTCTTCTCGTGTATCTGTAAAACGTGGACTTGTGCCATGTTGTGATATTTGATATTTATTCTGAGTAAAGCTCCTGCTCTGTTGTGTAAGACTGTTGCACTTCGTCTTTGCCCTTTAAACCATGGAACTTCATATAAATACCTGCGTGCAAACATGAAAATAAAAGACATCGTCAACTAAATTACAATCGATAATTACAGATAAGATAGACGAGTTATTAACGGACATATCACAGAGTTTTTACAGTAAACACCATTGTTAATCTGCTCCCTAGAAATGACCCAGCCAGAGTTCATACAGTAGAAATGAATAGAGTTATAGTGTTTTATTCCAAAGCCCATTGGTTTTAACTGTGGATGCATTTCTCTCAGGGGAAGAATGCTTGTGATTTGATTGAACTTCGCTCTCTGGCTTGTCTGATAATTTTTTACTTATATTCAATTTATTGTTCGCAAGGAAGTTGCTATTCGTGTGAGGAGGAGGCTGTCGTCATCCTTCATCACCTCTGGTCATATTTTAGGATCGATTTTTTTCCAGCCACTTTTTTTTGGGGGGGGGGTGCACGCATGGATCCACTATAAATATCATTTTTTACCAAGAAGTACCAGAGCCAGTGTGCTGACTCCCAGATATTGCTTCAATGGAAGCATTGATTTCAAAGGTCCCCAGGGCCGCATCCATTGTGTTGGGTTGCACAGTGTAACATCCCCATTGTCCACCGCGCCGCCTTAATAAGCCGGCAGTGAGCTTTGAAAGATGGGGCTGGTGAGCACATACAGTCCTGTGGGATAAGAAAGTCAAGCTTGTGACTATAGTTTGAGCCTTGATGTGTCACGGTTTTGCTAAATGAGTTTCATTTCTCGTGTCGGGCAGAACTCCCAGAGCTGCCGCAGGATTGATGTAGCGCTCATCTTGGGTGAAATGGAATTTGATGTGTGTAATTGTTTAAGGACAGTTTGAATTTGAGGCTTGGTATTAGAGCCAGAGAGATGCACCACGAAAATATATAATCAGCTCCTCCCTCCCCTCTGTTACAAGCAAAAGTTTACAGCGTCATTTATTAACTGAGCTCGGTTTGTCTGTGGGACTGTGTTGAATTATAGGTTCACTGGTATGAGTGCTCCCTGGCAAACAGGTAGAGAGTTTCTTTTTTTATTTATGAGCAAGGCATTTATTCCGCTCTTGCCTCCAAACGCCTCCCTCCGCTCAAGGCTGCCATCTTTTCTCTAATCAGGTAGAAGATGAACTCAGCTCTCCCTCACACATCTGTGCCAATGTTTTCTAACTAGATACAGAGACCTTCCTAAGGTAACAGCCTGTGTGTGTGTGTGTGTGTGTGTGTGTGTGTGTGTGTGTGTGTGTGTGTGTGTGCTGATTGTAGGAAAGTGTGCGTGCGTTCATGCTCATGTGTTGCGTAAGAGACAACATCAGCCCTTGGGTGTTGCGCTGGAGTCAGTATCTGCGGATTAATTACCCAGAAGGCACCTGTCTACCCTTTCCACACGGACATGGACACACATGCACACGCAGGCACTGAAGACACAAACACACCCTTGGGACTCTCAAAATGTCACAACACCTTACTTGGCAGCACCAGATAATACCGCCTCACACAGCCAGAGAGCCTCAGATGTTTTTAGGTTCTTCTGCCCAACAAGATGTCTGCTGCCTCTTGTGCTTCGTATATTTAGTTCATCATCATCTCCTCAGTCTCATTATTTCTACATGTTAAAATGACCTTTCTGCATTTGCTGTTTGATTGTTGATTTCAGGACGACAGGATGTGAGATAAACATAAAACATTGAGAGTGTTTGGCCTGAAGTGATTGCAGAGAAGATAAAAGCAGTAATAAACTTTTGCCCTCTCACTCCTGTCAGTGGTTAGATCGTGCAAAGAAGCTTCTCTCTTGTTTTAATGCACGTGTGTGTGTGTGTGCACGTGTTCTCTTTTCTTAGTCACTTGCACAGATTTCAAATAAATATTTCAATGAGCGTCTGCGACCTATGTTTGAGGTTGGTAATTGTACCTTAGTAGTACAATAACATGATTTTCTTAGAATATATTTGGTTCAGCATTTGTTGTTGTGAATCAGGCGAAGATGCTTGTGGAGACATTTCTGTTGTAATTAATGAAGACACATGTCTGAGAGCCTAAAGGGCAGGTAGCAGTTGACACAAGCTGTGGAACAACAGGCTGGTGAAATTTCCATTCACACTAACTTAGCAGGCTCCCGTTCACATTTAGGTGATTTATTTGCCCTCGTGCCGCTCGGTCGTCGGTCGTCGGCTTCTTTCTTGCCTGTGTCGACCTCAGGATGTGCTCAGATCGATGTGATTCTACAGCCGTGATTCTTCTATCAGATGTATTTAAAGTACGATTATTTTGATGTGATTGACAGTAACTCTGAAAATGGAATGAAACACTTAAAATTGTTATAGGTGAGACAATAGCACGGAGGAGAGAGTTAAATGTCGTGCTTTGTTTGAGCTTCAGCCAACTGAGCTCAGTGATACAAACAAGATGAGAGAGGTCTCATCTCACATATGATCCTCTGATGATCTTTGATTCTTAAAAGGAAACATCTTCTCTTTCCCTCTCTGACCCACTCTGTCTGCAACACTGCCACCAAAAGCTGTTAGTGGTTTATAAGGTGAAGACAGGGTTGATGCTTCCGCAGTGTGTGTTTGTGTGTGTGTGCATGTGCTTTTCAAAACCCGTCCCTGCTCCTGATGAATGACTAATAAACCTCAAACAACCAGTGGGAAATCATATCAACAGGCGAGGCCAAGAGGATAGTGGGTAATGTAGTTTATGTCTTGCTTCGGCCCCAACAAGAAATCATGGTTTTCCCATATGAAAGCAGAGATTTGTGGGTAATGCAGTCTGAGGCCATGCCACGGAGGGTTTATGGGCAGTACCATTTTTTTCCAGTGGCTGCCTGTGGTGTGGATGATAATAGCAGAGGTCCTTTCAGGTAACGCAGGTCTTGTGATGTTTTTCTGAGCGGCAGCTGCTCTTCCCAAAAAAAAAAATGTTTGCACCTGCTAGCTTTTAAAAAACCGTGTTGAAATGTCACAATGGCCAAATTTAGAGCTATTCAGACTGAGTAGTTCAATCTTCCCACATTGATTTAAACAAGCTCGTGTCATGTTTCTTCTTTGCTGCCGTATTTATGCTTCAAATTTAGAGATAAGAGTTTTGCCTGCAAATACTTTGATCCCAAAGCATCTGCACTGGTAATGTCCTCTCACTCTCACCGCTGCAGCTCTTTTAGCTTTTTAACGTTGTTTATCTCATCCGTCCGAACCAAACAACACCTGTCTATACTGTACAGATCACCTGAAGCAAATGTGTTTATTTGCACGTGTGTGTGTGTATGTATGTCTGAGCAAGTGCTGTATTTCACTGAGCACAGAGTAAAAATGAGTCTGCTGTAACTCCGTCACTGCTGTGATAATTTATTGAACGTTGTATTTATACGTAAAATAAACCATAATAAAGGCCCACATGAAGAACTCCGTGTGTGCGATTATTTTCCTGTGACCTAATTATTTTCTGTCCGTGTCTTTGCATTCGCAGAATATTTGACTAAATTGTTGAAACAGCCTGATTAACTGTGAAGACTGAGTTTGTTGATATTTGTCTTTCTCTTTTCCTCTCAATGTTTTTCTCGTCTTTAAATATTTATTGAAAAGAATGGAAAGTATTTCCTGAACACTTCATGACTCTGTTGCACAACAAACGTCCTCCTGTTTCTTCTCATCACAGTGTTTAAGGGTTTAAATAGAAAAGGTGCGTCTCGACTCGCCACAGCAACAGCAGCCTTTTCTTATTCTTCCTGTTCGTCTCTGTCGCACTTTAAAGGTTTAACAATGGTTGTAACTTTTTCTCTTCTTTCCTCCTCTTTGTATCATCATCATTTTTTCTTTGTCTGTTCCTCACCTTTCCTCCTTTTGCCCTGACTGGTACTTCCTACCCTTTCCTCCCTCTCTTTCTTTTCTTTTCACCTCTTCCCATCACCCCATTTCTTGCTCTCTTCATTCATTTTTTTATTTTTTATTCTTTTTCCATCCCTTTCCTTTTTCCTTCCTTCCTCCCGCGACAGAATCGCATGCACGAGTCCCTGATGCTGTTCGACTCCATCTGCAACAACAAGTTCTTCATCGACACCTCCATCATCCTCTTCCTCAACAAGAAGGATCTGTTTGCAGAGAAGATCAAGAAGTCTGCGCTCAGCATCTGCTTCCCCGAATACACAGGTAAGACAATTACGCATATGAATTTAATTCTTTAAACTTTTTTTTTTTGTGAATGCATCAGTGACAATCAACACGTCAACAGGGAGAAAACTTGACAGGTGTACAAAAACACTGAAACTGGATGTAATTACACACGACAGAACACACAGCTGATCCGCCACAAACAGAACAAATCAGAAACACAAAATAACTGGTATCAGCATTTTTATAAACTGAGGTTTACTAGATAGTTCAATTTGAGACTAGTGGACCACTAATCCCCAAAGCAATAGTTTAAATGTTTCGTTAATTCAGATTTAAGGGGAATATTTGGATTTAATTTGGAAATGATGTTATAAAATTCACTTTCAAGTTGCTTTGATCAGATGATTGATGCCACTGTCATGTCTGTATGCTAAACTTGAAGCTACACTGGGAAGCTAGTTAGCTTAGCATAGCATAGCATCAAAACTGAAAGGTGGCAGATCCGAAGGTCACCAGAACGCGTTAGTCGTGCGAGCGGCTGAGTTGCAGAGAGTGCAGCCGCTCAAAGTAGCTAAGGTTACGATGGTAGCGGCGGGACAGCTGGTGACGCAAATAGGAAATCCTCCATTGGCCTGGCTGCTGTTGATGCTGCCATATTTATCGTAGATATGTGATATTAGAGTGGTATCAAACATTCTCCGCAGATTCATGGTTGGAGAGAAGAAGTGGGTTCAACTTCAGCTCTAAAACTGCCTGATAGTAAAAACATCTAGATTCTGAGCTAACACTCCATGAGGAGGTAAAGTGAGGACGCCAGTTTAAATGACATCATGTGAAAGTATGAATGAAGACGCCCTGTCGTGGCCTCATACGATTCCCAGAAGTGAAATAGCTTTGTAAACAGCCTCAATGTTTTTGGACAGTGATTAACCTCTGCATGATACAGTGGATGAGTTAGTTTGAGCGAGCGCCACATTAGCTGTCAGTGAGAAATAAACCGCGCTGAGAAATGTGGCTCTTTGGATCCCAGCTGTTTACAGCAATGAGTCGCTTAGATTTATCAGGAGAGAAAACTGAAACCAAACAAGCAGGTGGATGAAATGTTCGCCCGTGTGAAGAGCGTCTGCCGCTCAGTCAAATGAACGACGAAGATTTACGTGACTGTTTTTAAAAAAGGCGGAGGAGACGATGGCAAACAGGAACGAAAGAGGAGGGGACACGCATGTGTGGCTGTGACAGAGAGAAGAAGGGATAGAAGGGAGAAAGAGAAAAGGAGACGGTCACACTTGGTCAGCCTTGAGGTCGGGAGAGAGGAGATGACAAGCGAGAGCTGTCTCCTGTCGTATCTCCCTGAGCTCATCCCATTCTTCTGTCTCTCATGCTTTATATACTGATAAATAATTCACATGTTGATAATCACACTTGATCTGTCTGACTGAGTCCATCTCTTCATCCCTCCCTCATCGTGTCCTCCATTATCTTCCCATGTAGCACACCTTAGTGCCCCGTTGTGACTTTATATGATCCGAAAACTTTGGGATCTCGATCCCCAGCGTTCTCTGAAAACGGACGAGTGTATTTCTAATAATTCTGTTCGTCTCTTTTCTCTCTCTCTCTCTCTCTCTCTCTCTCCAGGACCCAACACCTACGAGGACGCAGCAGCTTACATCCAAGCACAGTTCGAGAGCAAGAATCGCTCCCCAAATAAGGAAATCTACTGTCACTTGACCTGCGCCACAGATACAGGAAACATCCAGGTGGTGTTTGACGCCGTGACCGACATCATCATTGCCAACAACCTCCGAGGTTGCGGCTTGTACTGAGCACTGCCATTGATATCCTCCCTCTTTGTCCCCTCCTCTCCCCCCCGCCCTTCCTGCCCTCCTCCTCCTCCTCCTCTTCTTCTTCCTCCTCCTCCTCCTCCTTGTTCCTTTGACACTGCTGTGGAAATAATGATGGTGATGATGACGGTTCTGCTGATTATTTAAAGAAAAAAGAACGAAAAATGCAACTAGGTACATATTAAT